TCAGGTAACAAGCAGATACCTCTTGGCATGACTTCCACAGTGAAAAGACTTAGAGTAAAAAATGTTGGGATATTTTGGATTGTGTCTGTTGAAATGAGAAGCTCACAGTGTGTCAGGATTTTGTGTGCATCCAAACTGGAAGAGACATAAGGTTTGGGGAGAGAGAGGAAAAATTCTTAAATTATTTTTAAGACAGTCTTATTTAGGTTCAAAAATTTTGATTTTGCTGTTCTGGCAGATGCACTGAGGGTTTACAAGACTATATCTGATATTGTAACATCCTGTGAGATGCAGCATGAGGAAGAAAAATATTTGACAAAGTTTTTAGGAAACCATTAAAGAAACAAGTGAGTTTTTTCGTGTATGTGGCTGGTTTGTTTTGGTGTTTTTTTCTCTTTCTTAATAATATGTTAGATGACTGTTAGAGCTGTACCAGAGCATGGAAGCTGAGGGATGGAGCACAAAACTTTATAAAGAAGATTCAATGCGTTTGTGCTTACCAAGTACTTGGACCTTGAAAGCTCTCTTCTGCTGTCACCTATACTGTCTGTCCTGAGCTGGAGTTGTTTTTTTTTGTGGTCTTCTGCAAGTTTACCTTACCTGAGAATTGCTAAAAGGATCCTTCTTTTTTTTGGTTCTTAAACGGGCTTTCTTGCTTGTCTTCTAGGTATTTGTGTCTTTGTCTTTCGGAAAGCCTCTTTTGCCTAATTTTGGAGTAAAATACTGCATCGGAATACCAAGCAAGTAAAATCTTGAGTCTGTTGGATGTTCCAGACGATGCGATGCTATTTCATCTCATCAATTACCCTTCTTCTGATTTTTTTTTATTTTAAATCCACATGATACTATTTCTCTTACTCTGGCAAAGCCAGCTCTGCCTTGACTGCCTGACCTCCTCCACAGCCTGCGTTCTGTCTTCTGGGAGGGCATTCTCTGCTACCATTCTTCAGAATGAGAAGAAAGCATTCTAGGAAGAAAGTTCCTTCTTCAGAGTGCCACCATTGCCACCTTGTACCTCTCATGTAGAAGTCATCATCTTCTTCCTCCCACCTCCAATCCTTTTGTGCAATCTGTCTACTTTTAGCTGCATCCAGAGTTGCGTTGTCTTAAAGAGTGTGTTGGCTACAGTACATTTTTTGGCTCAGCTGAAGGGAATCTTGCCGTTGTGAAGGGAGAAAGGGCAAAAGAGACACCGTTGCTCTGTACACTTAAAGTATTCCAGACTGGGCATGTTTTGGTTTTGCTGTGCACTTGGCCTCTTTGTGTGGGCCCAATGTAGGTGTTCCAGTTTTCACATAGCTGCAAGAGGAGTCCTGTAGTTTGGGTACCTAGATGGTTACCGAGATGTGATAGACTTACCATTACATTTAGTTAACTAGGGAATATTGTCAGCTTTATATATATTAATTTCCCTCTAGCAAAAGATTTATACAACATATTGAAGATGTTTTGAGCATGAACTTTGTTTAACTCATGTTTAAACATTTGAATCAAAGGACTGTTAGCTTGAATGACCTAACTGTTCCCATTTGGTTTAGTGTGATGGGGATGGAGTGAGAAATTCAGATGGAAAGCACTGAAGCCAGGAGTGACTTCATCAATTTATACCTTGAATTATGCCCAAAGGCAGTAGTTGCTTACATGACTAAGATGTTGGCATTATCATTTTCTAGAGGAGGATGAAGAAAACAAACCAACCCCCAACCCCATAACTTAACAACAACACACCCCTCCACCCCAGTACCACTGGAACTCTTGAGTTCAGGTTTTTGTAGTTAGAGTTGTTTACCAAACCCATGTTGTGCAGTGTCTGAGCACACAACATGTGTACACTTTACTGCTAGTTCAGTGTAAGTGTACAGTGTGAACCATTCTTTGAATATATTACAATTCCCAACTGTTTAACTATACACTTGGACTTCTGCAGTTGGGGTAGAGCTTGCCTCTGAACTGAATTAATGAAATGTTGCTAGTTCAGTGCTCCCCTAAAATATGTTTTGAAATTAAAAATATTTTTCAAAATAACAAATTTTGATGGAATGACATCCAGAGCAAGATGGATCCGACTTAATGTTCTACCGGATGGCTGCTATCAATAGCACTTTTGGGATTAAATCTTTTCATGTCATAGGCATCATAATGTTATAAACAACTAAATTCTGAGATCCAAGTTTGAATCTAACCTGAAAACAAGCCTTGAGGTATTAGTATGGCCTAGAGTGTGTTTATCACACAAACTTTCTACTTTAGTCTCTACCATGATCCCTTGAAGAATAACTGCACACAGTAAACACGCAAAAATATGTGTAACTAACTTGTTTCTAGATGAAATATGAACTGTGCTGTGCACGTAGTTCAAGGTTTAAAAGGTAAAAATGCCATTTTTATTCTGTCAGACATGGGGTGTTTTTCAGAGCACAGACCAACATTCCTTGGCATCCCTTAGCAGTGCAAGGGAGAAGTCTTCACACCACCAAAACCAGAAGCACTGTGCTCCTGGTAACAGAGCCTGAGTGTGCGTGCTGATACCTTACTCAAAAGCAGACGTAACTGCTGAATTTTTAAGCTGCCACATCTGAACAGCACCAATAGGGTGGGAAACTTTTGAGACTTCGAGTTTATTGTTTATCATGATCTAATCTCTGTAGTGGCCAGTTTTTCTTTTTCTTTATTTGACATTCATGAGGGTAGAAAACCTTTTTTATAAAATAAATTGAGAAGCAAAACATGAAATTAAATCATCCAGTTAGCAGGGGATTTCAAGTGAATAGTAATTCACTAGTCTCAGTGTTGCTTATACGCTAGTCCAGTTTGTTTATGCTGCAGTGGGAGAGTTTGGACTCACCTTCCCGTTTGTAAATTACTACATCCTCAGTACTTCAGTGTTGTACTTAGACCCATTTATTGAATCTTCATTTAAAGCACTTCAGTATTCATGTTAAATTTGTTTAAACTGATATTATCAGTGGATCTAGTAGGAAGGAATAATTTGAAGCAATCTGATGAGGAAGAAAACTACCACTTTCAGCAGATGAACTTGACTGTAAATGCTGCTTTAGTACATAACTCCTTTTTTCCCCATGAAAGGTTTTGCTTAGGTTCTCACATACTGACTAGAAAGCCAATGTATTTTCTTACTAAAAAAAGCATATATTTGATATATGTATATTACTTAATAGTTGTTAGAATATTATCTACTTTTTGAGCTACTTAACAGTAGCTTAGAATTATCAGCATTGCATTTCAAAAATAGTTTTAATTATCTACCTGCTAATGTAGGTAGTTAACATTCTTTTAAATCAAGGATACAACTGTGGACTGCTAAATAGTCTGTCTTAATGACTACTGTGGAGTAGAAAGGATAGGAGGAGAAAGCTTATTTCATCTATTACATTACGTCTATTATTTTCTTAAAAGAGTAAACTTGAAAGGCTTGTCTTGTTTACACATTCAATATGTTTCACATGTTGTGAATTGAAAATTTAGCATCTTCTGATTAAGTCAGATAATTTGCAGTAAAAAACATCTGTGTCCAGGAATCTTTACAATTTCTGTTCACTGCATTTCCTTTGTTGGGTGAAGGTTTGTAAGTCTTCCCACTGTCTCCAAAGGAGGTGGAATGACTGTAAGTCCTCGAATAAATAATACTGAAAGGATGAGAATTTTCATTGCTAATTTCACTGAGATTAGGTTTATATCTGTGGCATGTGTGTTTATATACTGGCACAAATGTTTGATATCTAAGAGTATCCTTTATTTGCGGTGTCAGGTATATGGCTTTATGTATTGTATTCGTACTTTGTAAGGGTAAAAGTGAGTAGCTGTTGAGTCTGTTGCTTAGAAAAGATCTTTTGTGATATGTTATTCTGAAGTATTTTGGACTTTTAATTCCATAGATTAATATTTCATACAGTATCTTTTTTCTTCTTTTCCTATAATGCCTTTCTTTAGTTTGCCTTGTGCTGAAAGAAGGCTTAGATTAAAAGTCTTCCCTTTAAGACTTTCCTTCTGTGAAGCAGTTTGATTATTTCTGCTGCAGGATACCTGTAAAGGATGTTCCTGTAGTTATGACAAACAGAATTTTTATGTCACCTTGTCTTGTGCAAATAACTCAGTCATAAGAGAGTGTAAGCTTATTTTCAGAAGCACAACAAACAAGAACTCAGGATATTTGATAACTGTTGTGTAATCTTTTTAGTTTCATAAGCCTATCTTGACCCCATTTAAGACTTGGTCACAGGCTTCTTTTTGTATTTTGGACATATTTCACAATTTAACAAATCTCTTTCATTATGGTAATGAAAAAACTAGAAAAGTTTAGTTTGGTGTAAATGGTTTCTTGTAACTTGGAGACTACAGTCATTTAGTTGCTTTCAGATTCACTCCTTAACAGCAAGTTTCAGATAAAAATGACTTGTACTAATACAGACCTCTTAATGCTGAGGAGTTTTAGAGTGAACAAGTTAACTTTGCTGAGTACTATTCATAGAAAAACAGAAGACTGAACTCAAAATTCAGAGCAGCAAGCCTGCGTGTTGCCAAACAGCTAGACTTATCATTCCAAATAACTATATGACTTTATATGCTAAGTTTAACTGGTGTGGGATTTTTTCCCTTTGCTAAGGTTGCAGTTCTACTTTTAATACTTGCTCTCCATAACTGTATTAAGAAGCTAATAAAACTGATGATTGCTTTTAGAAATGTTTGCATGTTCTAGAATATTTATGCTTCTGTCCAATAATTCTTAGAAACATTTTAATCTTATTCCAAGCTCTTGTACCTTTGATGAACCAAAATGCTGTCCAAACCCTGTATGACGTATAATGCTGATGTTGAAATTGCTAAGTTTGACAAAACAAGCTTGTCTAATTCCTGGGAGGAAATCTCTGAAATGAAAACTGCAGAATTGGAGCTGGAGCTAGTTTATTCCATCAGTTCATTTGTCTTTAATATCAAAAGCCATTTACACCTTTTGTGTTTTTTGTTTTCCCTCTGGCCAGGGAGGCAATAATGCAGGGCATACAGTTGTTGTGGATGCTGTGGAGTATGACTTTCATCTTCTGCCAAGTGGGATCATCAATCCGAAAGTCACTGCATTCATTGGTAAGTGGGATGTCTCTACAAAATAGACAGTACTGTAGTTTCAGACTTCTGACATAGTAAAATAACAAAATATGTCTGAGTACATACAGGATCAAATTCTCAAATTCTCATAGGTCTGAATTGCTCTACTATCTTCTTAATAGTCTTAACTCAGTTGTGAAGTTTGAATTACAGAATTTTCTTTTATTGTCTTGGATGGTTCATCTTTGTTTTATCTGTCCTATCAATGCAAACAGGTAGCTGCCCAGAATATCTTTGTTATCGTGTTCCCTCTTATTTTCCCTACCAATTATTTCTTTTATTCTCACAATTCCTCCTCTCTGTTTTATCTTCAGCTCTGCTAAGTAACTACCAGTACCTTTTGAAACATAGATCTTTCCTTCCCTTTTCTGCTGGATCGCGAAATGAAAGCTGATTCTGAAAGACTTCTGCACTACCAAGAAGTTCTCTCAGGAGAGTACACGAGAAGGTTTAGGGCAGTGGAAGTACTATGGGATGTTAGGATCTACGATGTTTGCTTCCTGAAAGGGGATTTAGATTGTTCTGTCTGTTGTCCTTACAAGCCTACTTAACCTCCTCCCTCTCTTGGAATGCTCTTTCCAATTCTGTGTGTGTTTGGTTTGTTTGTCGGGTTTTTTTTCTTTGGATAGCTTGTATGACCAGCCTAGTTAATGCTGTGTAGCCCTTAAAATTTCCTTCGAAAAATTAAGATAAATATTTAGGGGGCTGGTTAGCTCAGTCAGTTGAGCATGGCGCTAACAGCGCCAAGGTCCTGGGTTCAGTTCCTGGTTGGTCCCCATGTGTTGCCTGATCAAGTCGAGAGGTGGTGTCCCTGGTGACAGGGAGGTTGGATTAAATGATCTCTAAGGTCCCTTCCAGACTAGGCCATTCTCTGATTCTGTGTCTACACAGCATTGAAACCGTGCATGTGCTTGCGTGCTGTTGAACAAATCATGCGAGTCTGAGGGTCACTAAATGCTGTGACCTATCAACATCTCCGTCCTGCTCTTTGATACCTGTAACTCCTGTCCCCTACACAGTGTAATTCTCTAAAGCAGGAGTCTCTTGCTGTCCCCTTCTTACCCCTTCTTTGTGCGTGTTTCATTACTTTGAGCCTGTAGTCTTGCCTCTCAGCTTGGTGTGTGTGCCAAGAGTGGTCGTTGATATTTTGGTAAGGAGCAGAGCAACTGAAGGGCCTCTGTCACTAGTTACTCCATTCACTAACAGTGCTTGCTCAGTTTTTGGGTCCAGCTTGTAGTGACTGTATACTCACAGTCATCATTAACTCTTTGCTTGATGGAAATTGGTGGTCAATTGCCTCTTTGCAGCTATTTCATTGTGACTTGATAGTGGGATAGTTTTGAATAAACTTGCTTGGCCTAATCATATTTCTACAGAAATGGAGCCAATGGGCATGGAAATAAATTCCCTCTGCTGAAGGGGGGGTTGGGATGTTAACGGCATCTAGTTTTGAGGGCTGCAGCAGATGATACTACTTCTGATCTCTTTTGATGTGTTACAGTATTATGTTTCTTTAGAAGTTAATTTCTTGAAAACAGTAAAAAAAGATGGCCATTTGCTATGTTTTGTTTGGTAGACTCAGGGTTGAGTAGGAAAGACTCCATCCTCTAAAAATATAGTAGGCAGAAGGAGCTTTTTACAAATCCTCTTGCCTATATCTTTTATCTCTTGGTCTTGTCCATTCTGAAGTTTATTCTAGCTTCTTTTAGGTCTGCCTTGTGTTTAAAATTTCTTGGGAAAAAAACCCCAACAACCTAGCTTAGGATTCCACTGAAAGGGCGTACAGGTTAAAAAAACCAAACCAAAACCAACCAACAAACAAACAAAACCCCCAACAATGTGCAGGAGCAAAATGATTGGAGAATTGTAAGAAATTATTATTATTGATTAGAACTATCTCAAAGGTTATAGTGAAGAAGTCTTAGATATTTTTTTCATTTCAGTGATTAGAATGCTTTTATCAGTGTGAAGTTAGGTGATGTGCAATAGTTTTAAATGACAGGTCCCTTCATTCTTCGGCTAGGTGCTGTCATACTGGTAGCTTTGGATCTACTGATGCACTGAGTTTGGGGTGGCGTTAGAGGTGGTTCAGTTTTGCTGTATGGTAATGCCCCTTCTTAGGCACTCGGTGATGCTGTCTGGTTGTGTGAGCTAGTAGCCTTTTCTGAGCAGTGTGACAACTGTAGGAAAGTGAGCTTGCTTGCGATAGAACTTTTGCCTCTGTTATTTTTGCTAGTCTGTTAACAACCCCAACTCTATATATGGAATATTCTGTGTCCATTTACAGCAGAAGAGTGCCTGAGGGGATGCGAGTGTTTATAATAGTGATAGAAATGTGCTAAGCTTTCAAAAAACAATAGGGTTATTAAAATGAAGTACAAAGAGGGAAGTTAATTTTAGATATGAGGAAGAGGAAATTGCATTCTGGACTATACCGCAATGCTGTTGGTGTTTGTCCTGATCTAAATTGAAAGTTTTTTGAGTTTATTAAAAAGATTCAATGCACATAAGTAGAAATGCATACTTTAGGTGTAAATCAATCTTCTACAAATTCCGAAGAATAGAAATTGCACTGTCTAGGAAGTTTAAAAACATATATAAAATAACCTGCCTACAAAACATGAAGTGTCTTTGAATCATTTCGAATATTTTTTTCCACGTTCAACATAATTCATTGCATTTTGTGTGCTGATTTTCTCCAGGAAATGGTGTTGTAATTCATTTGCCAGGACTCTTTGAAGAAGCTGAAAAAAACTTAATGAAAGGAAAAGGTGAGAAAATTTTAAGATACTACTCTTAAAATAGTTTGTGGGGCCTTCCAGATGATTTGGGTAGAGAATGCCTCTGTAGAGATTATGTACAGTTTATTTTTTCCAGAACTCTTGTTTAGCTTTGTCTTTCTGACAGAAGTCTCACTATAAGTCCCAGGGCCCTCATATGAAGACAGACAAAAGGACTCTCTACAGTTGCAGAAGAGAACATGGTCTAAATGTGAATTACCTGCAGACAGTTTTCTTTGCTTGAAGTGGTGAATTTAGGAAGTGAAAAAACTTGTTAAAGTGTGTTACCAGTTCGTAGCAATTTTATCTCTTACCTTATTGTACAGTTTGATGATATATTAATGTAAAGAAATGCTGTGGTAATCACTTCATGATTCAGAACTAAGTTTTTGGATGCTTTCTGTTAGGTCTGTGGCTATACTTGTCAGCAGTCTACTATAAGTAAGGTAAATCAATGATCTAGATTACTCAAAACCAAAAAGCTACTAATTTATTGCTGAAATTGAGTAACTAGTAGAATAATTAGAATTCTCCCTCAGAATAAGCCTGACTTTCTTAGCTTTATGGGCTGATGCCAGATTTTAATTATTGAAATATTTTTTTTTCCTCTGGAATGTGATTATCTTTAATTAGATTTATTGAAGACTAAACATGAAGATTGACATAAAGACACTAGACAAAAATGCTATTCAAAACATAATTTGAACTATTTTGTTTTGTCTTTAAAGGGCTAGAAGGCTGGGAGAAAAGACTAATAATTTCTGACAGGGCTCATATCGGTAAGTTCCTGTTTGTGGTTTCTATTTTTTTGTTAGTCTTTGTTCTCTGTGACCTTTCTGTGGCAGTAAAAGCATGACAATTTTTAGCCACCTCTATATGAGTATGTACTTTTCTTTAGATTAAGCCTCTGTATGCTGCTTTAGTTTGTTGAAGATCTCGAAAAAAATTGTTCCCACCCAGGACCCTCCTAGATTTATAATCTAGTGACTCTTTAGTCCTCTTCCATAAGCACAACCTAGTCAGGAAGGCAGGTGCATTTTTGAGCCAAATAGTATAGAGGTGCAAAGCAGTCAAAAAGCAATTCAGAAGTTAATTGACTGAAAGTTTTGTTTCCCCCTTTACTGTAAAAGCAGTGCTGCTTACAGCAACGTTTTTGCTGGGAAACCACATGCCTGGGCGTGACTTCCACCCAGTCGGGCTCTCTACCGAGTAAATCGCCATGTACTTCAGAAAGTCTGGAGATTTTTATGGGCAGGACTCCGTAGGGATGGAGGGAGCGGCTGCCCTCCTCGTGGGGAGCGCATCACTCAGGTGTTGATTCCAGCCTGTGTTCCAGGCAGCCTGGCGTAAACTGGTGTTTAGAGTCCAGACCACCAACATAGAGCTTCCGAGGCTCTTCCTGTGTCATTCCCAGGAAATCTCTATTGCATAAATTCAGCCTTTAAATGAGATTTTTAGATACTGTAACATAATAAGTATATAATTGCATGTATTAGGAATTGGACGTATTGCTGCTCTAATAGTCGTCTTCTGAAGATGCAAACTTTTTAGCTTTTATCAGATAAAAGCATAGAACACTGGATGAAAGTTGTTGTGTTTTTTTTTTTTCATCCTATCTGGAATACCCTAGTGAGTGAACATGTTATTTCAGAGCACATATGTTCTTACTTTGGAGAAACTATTTAGTTTAAAATCGTTGAGTAACTGTTCTTAAGTTACTAAAATCCTTCCTGAGTGTAGAATCACTGGAGGTGAATTACTTTGAAATGACTAAATCATTGCAGAACAGATTTTCTATTAATTATATTGTAATGGCAATACTATGAAGTTTTCTTAGCTAAACAGATCCTGAGCAAAACAGGATCGGTTACAGGCTGTCACTCACAATCATTCAACCTCTTAACATAAATAAACTTTCAGAGTGCTTCTGTTTAGAAAGTTTTGATGACGGTTTTTGGCTTGGTAAATATGTGTTCTCTAAAATGGATATTGGCAATCTGTGAATGATTAGTCTGTAACAAAATGTCATCCAAAAATAGGTTCAAGCTGCTGGGGATAATCTAATCCTTTAAATTATGGGATATGTGAGAATAGACACAAAAAGAAATTGGTAGGCAAAACAAGGAAAATCACTCTTGTTCTAGAGAGGCTAGAGTACTTACTGAGCCTGTTTCTTGCAAGTTTTCAGTCTTCCTTGTGTAGTGTGCAGCTTAATTGTTTAACCTGTGAGAGATACAGCTTAAGAAAAACTGTCTGGCTTCTGTTAACCTGCAGATTGTTGCACCGGTGTTTGTATCTGACATGAGTCTTCTCAGATTAATTTTTTTTCTTTTTATTTTATGATAGACAAAGAATTGGTGCAATAAATACTTTGCATAATCTTTGTCATTAATAATAGATAATGCTTTTAAAAAATAATCAGGCCTTGTGACGATTACTTCTGTTTACATAACAGACATTGGTGGGAGCTTCTGTATTTCCAAATGTATTTTAATTGATGTTGTCCAAAACATAAAAGTAAAATGGTTTAAGAAATCTGCAGAATGAACAAAAAAGTTTACTTAAAGTTCTCACTTTAAATTTCAACACTATGACAGGTTTTTATTAAAACCCATTTACAGGATTTTTTTCAACTACGTGTTTTCAGTGTTCATTGTCCATACATTCTTTTGGGCCACTAAAGTGTTGAAATGGCTCAGTTATTCTTTGAGAGTTGTGTACACAGTCTGCAAGTATTCTACAAAATAAATGCTTTAAAAAAAGTCTCTAAAAATCTGCAGAGCTCTTTTCTGTGAAAAAATCTAACTTGTAAAAGAGGGAAAAAACAACAACTTGTCATTTCATTTGCTTCTCTTCAATGTGTATATTTTTGTTTTTCACACTTATAAGCGGGACTAGAGTTGGTTTGAAGAAAATATTACCGATATGGTAAATTGTTTTGCACAAATTTCATACTGATATTATTTTTATTTTCTTAGTATTTGATTTCCACCAAGCTGCTGATGGCATCCAAGAACAACAGAGGCAAGAACAAGCAGGAAAGAAGTAGGTAGTTTTATTTTGTCAGACATAGGATGACTAAGGACAAACCTATGACTTAATACATTGGATTTTAGTTATTGTTTGTCATTGAGTTTAAAAAAAAAGTATTAATTATCCTTCTACCTCTTCAGTGTGGGGTATGCAGGGATCTTTTCTTACACTTTGTCCTCTTGTCACTAGCAAAAGTTAATATTCTTAATGAATCATAGAATCATAGAATGGCCTAGGCTGGAAGGGACCTTAGAGATCATTTTAATCCAGCCCCCCTGTTGCCAGGGACACCACCTCTCGACTAGATCAGGCAACACATGGGGATATTTTGCCTTACGAAGAAATTCCTAGTTCCTAATTTGCTTCATAAAAAGTGCTTCTACTTCCTAATGTTTTGTTACCTGTAGATGCTTGTTTCTATAAAGATTTATTTTCATTTATGAGGATTGAAGGACCCCCTTTGTCATCTCCAAATAACTGAAAGGTCTGACGTGCCTAATTTGGTATCTCATTATGCTTTGTTTTCTGAAGGGCATGTAAATGTTCGCATTGTTTACTACGTGCTGCAGTTGACTTCCTGAAGCTTTTGAAACTTTTAGAAACTAGCTGCTGTGTTTTTATAACCTGTGATTTCCAAGTAGCTCGCTAGTTCTTGGGGGTGGGGAAGAAAGCTGGCAGAATTAACAGTGAAATGTCTCCAGCTGGAAGGTAATGCAGCACTGAGATACTGGTAAACTTCTGAGACATCAGTAAACTTCATCTCTCTTCTTGGAAGTTTGTCTGTGTGGATGAAAAGCAATTCACTTTTCCTTACTGAGACCTGTAAAAGCTATCATCCATGACAATAATAGCCTTGAAGAGAGTGTCTCATTTGGGCATATTCTGCATCACGTGGGTTGCTGTGGACTGGTAATGTATCAGTTATTCTGACACTTGAATGTGCTGTGCCAGCTCTCTCTTTACCTGTTATTTTAGGCCTTAAAAAGTAAGCAGGAAGAACATACATATATGTGTGTGTGGAAGAATATACATGTTTTTGTAAGACTGTGTATATCAGTTATTCTTGAATGTTTACAGAGTGTAAGCTGAAATTGCTGTACAACAATATTTGCAGTTAAAAACATTGTCAGTCACTCAGCTACTTGTGAGAAGGAGCCACTTTATTAGTAGGTGTTAAAGATTGTAAGGGAAAGGCCAGTGAAGAAGTAACGACTTTCCTCCGATTAATTTGTGTTAAAGAAACCCAGGAAAAAAAAAAGTTAAATTCAAAGGTCAAAACCTTAAGCCACACAAAGTACTGTATTTCTTAGATGCTTGGCAGCATTTTCCTGACTCCAGCTGGGACATGTAGAGTTAAATGAAGCACTTCTTACATACAAACCTGAAATTCGTACTGCCGATGCTGTTCTTTTATGGAGGACTTCGTTTAGGTCTTCAGGACAGTTTTTTTTTTTTGAAAGACAGTTTCAGTTCATAGTCCTGAGGGATGTTGTGTTGGCATTCATTTCCTCAAGTAAAAATGCTGAGTTGTGTACAAATAAATATGTCAGTTTACAAAGTATGAAATGTTACTGATTTGTAAACAGAAGCATGTAGAAGATAAATATGTTTATGTCTATAAACAGTGATATTCTGAAAACTTAAGTTACATGCCAAAGCATCTCGTGTTTTAAATCATAGAATGCTTAAAACAAGGTTGTAAATATTTTCAATTAGCAGCATTTCAGTTTATGCTAAGGATGTATTAGCTTTAAAGAAAAAAACACCTTAGTCTTATAATAATAACTCTTGTTGTTATCTTTTGAAAGTTTGGGAACTACCAAAAAAGGAATTGGTCCAGTGTATTCTTCAAAAGCAGCTCGAAGTGGACTCAGAATGTGTGATCTTGTTTCTGATTTCGATGAATTTTCTGAGAGGTAATTTCTGTATTTTAATGCACAGTTACCAGCATAGTTTTCATTTTCTGATATGGAATTGTATAAACAAATACATCTGGTTGGTGTTACTTTTTGAAGTGAAAAATATGGTGAAATATGAAAATATTTTTATTTATAATTTTATTAACTTATCTATTTATAATCATTTAAATATTTTATTGTTATAATTTGTGTAATCACCAAATAATTGCGGATTCTTAACCAGTAAAAGTTAAGGTTTGTGGGGCCTAAGGAGGAAAACAAACAAACAAAAACCTTAGTAAAGCATTTTTGCCTTCTAGGTTCAAAGTGTTAGCCAATCAATACAAAGCGATATATCCTACCTTAGAGATAGATATTGAAGGGGAATTGAAAAAGCTCAAGGTAAGCCCGATTCTGTCTGTTAAATGACATCACTGTGTGCGATTACTTATATGTAAATCTCTTGGTGACAGACGCTCATACTTGTGTGAGAAGTTATAACATAATACGTGCCATGGGCAATTGGTATGTATCAATTTGAAAGAGTCTGCTCGCATTCTTGAAGATATGTTTGACCTTGCTTTATTTACACAGCATTTCAAAACTTGGTTTCAAGAGAAATATTATAGAATTTAAGAAGAAGGCTTATATAGGGAGAATTATTTTTGACTTCTACTTGCTTGGAGAAAAAAACAGCAGGCAGGATTTTAGCTGGGGAAGGTATCTGTCATTGTAAAGCAGAATATTAATTCCTTGTGTCAGAAATTTCAGAACTGAAGTAAATTATGATTCTAAGTAATAAGGAAAAAAATACTAACAACATAGAAAAACAGAAGTTAGAGCCTAATTGCCAGCAAACTAGTCTTGTGGTTAATTATGGATTCCACTTTGATGTTTTCACTACATTTGAGACAGTTGTGAGATTTCTCAGTAGTATTAATTCGCTTCTGCCTAATAGTGTGATTTTTTGCAATGCACCCAAGTTCTTATTTGAAAATATTTTCAGGTGGTTTACCTTTACTTCACCTTTTTGTTCATGCATTTTATAGAGATTTTTTTTTTGAAAACTCCTTAGAAAATACATGGAATAGGAGAGGTTGTGCACAGTTATGTGTTTTATTTCTTTCAGAAAATCAGGCCAAAGAAATCATCCTTCCTCTATTTAGTTGCCACTAAACTACCAGCTCTAGAATGAAGTATATGGGAGTTGTTAGCACTTCTTTCTGTCTTAGTTTAGTTAGTATCTGTTACACATTGTAACAACTGTAGCATTTTTATCAATATGTAGACCTAAAAATCAGTTACAATTGAGCATTTTATAATGCTTTCTATAGTTACTTAATAAAAATTAGAATTACAGAACATCCGAAAGTCATTGTTAGGGTCGAAGCATAATAGGTATTTGTAGCTTAATGTTTGTTTTATGCTAATGCACGTGATTAAATTCTAAAAAACCAAGTGTTACACTTCATGTGAAGTGACTCATTAGAATGAGAACTTCCATATGTTCTTGTGGGGAAAAAAATTGTCTATGCACCAAGTGTTAATCTGAACATTAGTGCCTGCTTGCATCCAGATACTCAGTGGCATGCTGGCACTTGACCCTGAATTCCAATAAATGACTTTTTACTTACAAACATACCTATATATATATATATAACAAATTAATACTGCTTTGCAGTTATTTACATTTGTTGCCTTTAGAGGGCCAGAAGTGGAATTTAGCACATAGTGGTTTCGGGGGAGAAATTTTGAACCTTTGGAAATGAAATACCGAGTACAGCAAAGAATTGTGATTATACTCAAGCTTGAATATTTCTAAAGCATTCCAAAAGTTTGGATTTTATTTCTTCTTTTTTTTCCCTTTTTTTTTTTGTTCATTCTTTCCTTATAGGAAGAACATACATGTCTATTGTAAAAATCTGAGTCTAATGTTCTTCCTTCCCTTGTTCACATGTTATGGCATATTTAGCATTTCTTTGTGTTTGCTTTTCCTTTTCAAAAGAACTCAGACCTTTGTTACAAGGAAGCAATAGCACCTGTACTCTGACTGGCTTTATTGTAATGAAATTGTACTCTACAATAGTATTTTGTATTATTCAGGGCTACATGGAAAAAGTAAAACCAATGGTAAGGGATGGTGTTTATTTCATGTATGAGGCTTTACATGGACCACCAAAGAAGATCTTAGTAGAAGGTGCAAATGCAGCACTGCTGGACATAGATTTTGGTAGGTATAATCTTTTTGAGACACATGTTACTCTATGCTTATGTTGTGAAAGAGGAACTCTAAATATAAACTCTTCAGTACTTAGCTGTTCTTGTGACAGAAGTGTTCTGTATTTTGGAATTGCAGTACTCTTTATGACTAGCAAGTAATTAGAGGTGGGGGAAAAAAAGTTTTTCATTAAATTATTTCATAAAACTTTATAGAGTGTGCCAAGATTAATTATTTGAATGACAGTAAAGATCAGGTGTCTTCTTAAATAGAGTATAGCTATACTTTAGGTGTCTATAAATTTAATATTAAATAACTCACAGCTGTGTGCATCTATGGAGAACACTTTTCTGAAGAAACTTTGAGAGGCAAAGTATGTATGCAAAATACTTGTTGACTTTTGTAGAATCAGTTTGCCTTTTTTTTTAACCCTTTATAGAGCACGTAGTTTTCCCCTCTTTCATGATGTAAGGAAAGTCTGTGGGAATCTGGATTGCTAATGAAGCAAGAGTAAAAAGATTATCCCAATCAATTTAAAGTTATAAATGGTGCACTTTTTTCTTAAAACACTGTAAATTTGCTAATAAAATTAGAAGCTTCCCGATAGAAGCTTTTTAAAGTGAGGTGATTATACCTGTTACCATGATATTGTAAGGACAGACAAATTATTATACCTCTGTATAGGCATAAGCAGCCTATATGATTGGCCTCTGCATTTTTTCACATTTTTCTTCAGTCTCACTAGCCTTATAACTGCATCATTTTTATTTTTTGAAAGATGCGTGCTTGAATTTGAGGTGTGTAGGTTCTGCTGTCAAACAAATACAAAAATTGACATGCACTCTGCTCTCGAGTGATAGGAATTCTGATACTGGACATTAACAAACACATTGAGTTTGAAAGCCTCTTCTTTTAAGAGGAAGATATGTCTAAGACTAATCACTGGAAGTGTAAGCACCAGTTTTTCCATGATAATATGAGTATTGGAAGAAACTTCCTTTTTAACAAGTCAAAAAAAAAAGGAAAGAAGTCTTCAACTATACTTCTCATAGGAAATTTTTGATGCAAAATGGATGTTTGCGGAGCACTCAAGAGGGATTGGTTTTGTATGTAGTGAGGATTTTAGATTTCATTTAAGTCTAGGAAATGCAAGTAGTCTGAAACTCATTAGGTATGTATATAATACGTAGACAGTTGTTAAGGTCACTTATATTTTACTTCTGCCTGTGCTGTGATACCCGCACACAGGGAGATATCTGCTCTCCTGAAGTAGATACTGTGACTGGATTTTGGACACTTGGGTGAACAATGGTTAAGTCCTAGTCAAAAGATTTGACAATGCCCAATGTCATTGCTGAACAGTCTGGAAGAGGCTGTTTTCTGTGCCTTGGTGCACAGAAGTCTTGATACTGAAGTAAGTTTTATGAATGCACATCTGTTGGCAGTGAAGACGGTAAATCCTCAGCCTTGCCATCCATCCTGCTTTTCCCGGGGTGTGTAATGAAGCTCACATGTGTGCACACGTGTCTGGGGGTGTATGTGTGTGGGTGTGTGGTCTTCTGTGTTTTTAAACGCTGTGTGAGGATAAACCACTGGCTGGGAGCTGAAACTGAGTACAGATTCTCATTGCTGCTGGTTTTGGACATCCGCTAGCTATATTTGCTTGTCAGTAAAGAAAAGCTCACTTACTGTGTCCTAAGAAACATAAAGAGTAATTGGTGCTTGCAGGCTGCTGCTACGTACCACTTGTAGGCCTGTGTCTTTCTCTTGAGAGATTTAACTAAAAGAAGCTAGAAATACCTGAAGCTAGTCTGCAAAACCTCACTGACTCTTTAAAATTGTCTGTATTGATTTCAATTTCTTCTGTCCAAGCCTGAAGCACAAGGTAGATGTCTCTTGCTTGTATGTAGTCACTGTGTGGCTGAAGCATTTGTCCGCAATTCAGATCAGCTAAGGGCTGGCATAGTCTGTTTCATCTTCCATTACTTAAAAAAACCACAAAACAACAAACAAAAAAACCAGTGCGAATCTAAAGATTTTAAGATATTTAACTCTTTTACCTTTCTTTTATCTTTCTCATCCAGGCTCCTTTTTTAAATGGTGGCCAAATATTTAGCTGGAGACAAACCCTCAACACTAATAAACTAGGCTATATTTCAGGAGGTGGTGTTGGGTTTTTTTAGTTTTCTTTTGTTGTGGAAATATTTTTTTATTTGATTATATAAACAAAATTGTTCTTTCCAAAGTTATACATTTCTTTGCAGTTTCTCATAATGTGCTGACCAGTTTGTAGAGCTTGCATTTTACTTTTTCTTTCAAAATGAAAAATGATAGACCTGTATTTTCTACACTTAATACCATTTTTTTAGGACTATCCCTTCAGAGTTCCACATGGTTCTAGTCATGACTGAATTTTCTGTAAGATAGCAAGGCAAGCTTTTCAGGTGAATTATTCCAATTTTTGACTTGTACCATCATTCAGAATTGTTAAGTAGTCAACTTTTTACCTCTGTATCTGTTGAAGTAGGTAGGTTTTCTACCTTTTCAATAAAGATCAGACAATGTACATACAGAACTAAGAGCTCATTAAATATGTTCCTGACTGCAGAACATATTTACTGAGTGTTTTAGTTTGGTTTTTAGTGTTGTAAAACCTAGGTAGGTGCAGTGCAGGTACTAAGAAGGTTAGACTTATTTATTTTTGTAATAGTTTAAAACCAGTGTTTTTTTAAAACCCATTTTTTTTAATAGGTACATATCCTTTTGTGACTTCATCAAACTGCACAGTTGGAGGTGTGTGCACGGGTCTGGGCATGCCACCACAGAATGTTGGAGACGTGTTCGGAGTTGTGAAAGCGTATACGACGAGAGTTGGAATTGGTGCCTTTCCTACAGAACAGAATAACGTGAGTATTATCAGCCCTAGACGTGGCCTTTAGTGGGGTGAAATAACTTGGTGTGTCAGTCTTATGTTAAATCAGTGTTGCTGTTCTAATGCAAGTAGATGACGGTGTGTTTGGATGTCTCATTCTTCTGATTCTAGACTGAGCTTACAGGACTGCCAAATCTGATCTTCAGTTTCTCAGACCTTCATATGGAGTAGAAGTCTAGAGCAGGAACAAATTGTGATATATTTGCTCAAATAGCGTTCTGTTGAATTAGGAATAGCATTTTCTATTTCTGTTTACTTCCCAATGGACAACTTTGTGAAAAATTGGGGGAAGAACTTTTAAGGTAATTTACAGTATTGTAAAATGTTGTTAAATATACACCTGCATTGTGTATTGCAAATAAATGAATAAAAAAGGCTCATGTAATAGTATTACTCTTGTGGTAGGAAATTGGAGAATTGCTGCAAATGAGGGGTAAAGAGTTTGGTGTTACCACGGGAAGAAAGAGAAGATGTGGCTGGCTGGACCTGGTGTCACTCCGATATGCCTACATGATTAATGGATTTACTGCGTAAGTTATTTTGGCAACAACATAAAATGTTGAAATGCTACAGATTTTACTGTACATTTTACATATACTACTAACATTCAGACTGTTAATATTGATTTGTTGAGTGTTTTGGTATTTTGATAAGTTAATTGTCCTTCATTTTGTTCTAGCATACAATATTTTTGTACCTGACATTTTCATACTTGTAGATTTTTCTTTCCTTATCTTGCAACACATTGTTATTTCTCATTCTAAATGATCCAAAAAGCGCTTACGTATCTTAGTCCTTGATGGTTCAAGCTACCCCAACTCCTCCCATCCCACGAAACCCTAACTAAATAAACTGCATTACAGGGGCCTTAAAACCTGATATATTTTGTGAGATTTTGTTTGCAAAATAATGGAGATGGGAACCCATCAGTATCTTCAGCAGTATGTGTAAATGTAGAACATTTGGATATGACTCTGGGACTTTAATTACAAATAAAAATAGACGTCTTGAAGCAAAAGCAATATAAGATTTCTAGTAAATAAAACTGTGTAAATATATGCTTTGCTTAATTTTTCCCCTTTTTCTTGTCCTCTGTGTTACTTAAAATAGGATGCAGCCAGGTATTTAAAGAGCCAGTGTTTGATTACTTTGCTGCCTTCACTGTAAGAAAGAAACATTTGGCAGAGGACAGGAACAGACAGCAACAGTCATCATGCCATGAAACCATCTCAAATGAATAGTCATAAAATGTCTTGGCAGCACCCTGACCAATTAAAATTCTAACACTTAAAGCTATTTTACCAGTCATTTTAATTGGTGAATACCTGTTCTTTGAATTTGGCTATTTTCTTATAATACTAGATCTAAGGATGTAACATAAAGGCTGTTGGTGTTTGGTTTTATTTGGATTGTGGTGTTTGTGGGGTTTTTTGTTGGTTTTTTTAATTCACAGTAGATAGATAGATTAGTGCCATATGAGCTATTTTTTCTAAGGAAAGACAATTAATTGCAATGTGCAGGAATCAATTTTTCTGTTAGTTTTTTTACAATGTGGTGAGAGTTGAGAGTTGTTGAACTTGTTTAACCAGAGTGATGTTTCTTTATAGGTTGGCACTTACCAAGTTGGATATCTTGGATGTATTTACAGAAATCAAAGTTGGTGTTGCATACAAACTAGATGGTGAAATCATACCTCATTTTCCTGGTAAGACTGCTCGTGTAACAGTTTTAGATGTTGGTGAAATGCAATCTGATACTTAAATGCATTTTTTACTTTTACTAGTAAAATTTGTGATAGGAGTATGTTACTTTCAGCATCAAGCTGTTAATGTCGTCCTAGATGCACCAGAGATACCCTGTACCACACCTGTAGCCACACCCTAAGGACACCTGTACCAAATCCTGTCATTTGTCAGCTGGAAAGATGCAAATTGCTGTATAAAGCGTCGTAAATGTAAATGTTGTTACTGCTTTATCCCTTTCCTTTAACATAGTGTGCCTTGCCTTCAAGCTAAATTGGTGGCTTGTTTCACAATCCAAACCCAGTGTCTTATTCCCACCACTGCATTCATCCCCACTTCTAGCAAGACAAGTCTTCATTTAAGCATGTGGTGAACCACGTGAGAGAACTGATCTGGTTGAAAAGCCAGATTTTTCTCTCCCTGCGTTATTTCTCTAAGAGTTCGGTTCCCTTTAATGGTTCACAGAGCAGCCAGAAGCCTGTCACACCTACACAATGGCAAAAAGGGAAAAGGGGTGGGGGAGGAAATGAGCAAGTGGTTTAGGTGAAAGCAACACTGTTTTCTAATGCAGGACCAAAATACATCAGCTTAGAAGTGATGGATAGTATAGCTCCTGAGGAGGACAGTGGTCATTTCAGTGATAATTTTTACCTGAAAAATATATCTGCATGTTAAAATAGGCAAATATAGCAAACCTTTTTTTTTTTTTTCCCATGGGTGTCGCATCTATTTCAGTTTGCTATAGTAGAGATACTCCAGAAAAGGCAAGAAAACTAACCAGCAAAGATTGTGCTTTCTGATTTTTCTAATGTGTGCATAGATGCCTGTTTCCATTCTGATTGCAACCTCAGGGTTTGAGGCTGGTCACAGGTTACAATTTTTCACACTATATCATCGGCAGAGAACTTTTTGCAGGTGAGATCAACAATAGTAATCAGGTACAACTATGCATAAAGGAATAAGTGATAATCTGTCATTAGTCCTTGAAATTAGCACATATCTGTTAGGGAACTTCATAAAGAATCTTCTGTTTTGTGCTTGGGGGAGTTTGCCAGTTGATTTGCCCTCTAGTATCTTTAAACAAAAGTGCCGATTACAATCTGAACGCATACCAAGTGACACGGCATGCACTTCTATTCAGGAGATTTAGTAATCATCTTCCACTAAACCAGGGAATGCTTTTTCCCTTTTAAGACTTGGATATTCTCTGATTGATACCCTTATCGAAATATTAAGGAAATGTGTTTGTACCTTAGAACATAATGGAGACTGCACATTTGAATTGAGAACCACTCGGTAAATGTTTCGTCTGTAGCCCTGTCATCTAACCTGGGGGCTATTAGGATTGTCTTGTGCTCGAGCCAGGAGAACCTTCTCTGGCAGCCCATCATTAAAGGTACCATAAACAGGTGGCCATGTTTTCCAGTACTAAGACTTCAGTGATAATGTGTTGGGGTTTTTTTCCCATTTATTGTGAGATGGAACCAGAATCTTGTTGTAACTCCTGAGGACAGACTTTGCTCCCTGTATATGCCCAGGTAGCAGATCGCTGACCTTTGGTCATAGCAGCACAACATGGCTCACCCGCTTAACTGTGTTTTTCTTTACTATATGAACAATTAAGAATTCTGGTAGAAATTTAGTATGAGCTGTTGCCTTTGCTGTTGACATGCTGTCTGCCTAAAGTGTCAGGAAGGAGTTTGAGCTGAACTTCTGGTAAGCTGGAAGATGCTGTCTCTCAAAGTGCCTCTGTGTTCCACACCTCTCCCTGTGCTATACTCCTCAACATTTGGCAGCATTTTCAGCACATATGCTGCAGGTTACTTATTACCCCTGCCCCTGGCATAAAAACCCAAAGGTAACTTTCTTCCCACTTCGTGTTTTGCAGACCATCAGATAATTTCTGATGTCTCTGTCTCTGCATGCTGTGCACTTGTATAATGTGGTTATTTTTTTAAAACTTTCCACTTTGACATTTTGAATTTAATTTAGAAGAGATCTAGTCTGGGAATCTCTTGCTGGCAGGGTATTTCTTTCTCTCTCCCCTCCCTACCCTCCCACTCTCTTGGAGATGTTAGTGATTTATGCTTCTTGTGAAACGACGATCTCTAAATTAGAAGCACACACAGTGCCCACCATCTCAGGAAAAACATGGCATATTTCGTGTATTGTTTCTTTTTCCAGCTGGATCAGGAAGTCGTACGAGTTTCAGTCCGTCTTTATAGCTTAGATTTCTGTAGACATTTCATAATCTGGTAAGAAAGAACTGAAAATGTCTTGTAAATTTACAGCTGATTTTGGTTGGTATCGTTGAGGCTCTAGTTTTTGCTATGTAGCTGGCCAGTACCCCAATTTCTGTTCAGTCATGGGAGTTTATGAAAGAGAGATAGAAGTCCCTCCTAGCTCTGCGCTGATCTGTTTAAAAGGAATGTGAAAGCCATGCTCTAGTCCTGCTTAATACCTCCTATCCGAGTTCAGGTGTCAGTTGATCTCGGTACAGTTAGACACAATTTCTAGCTCAGGAGACTTTGAGGACTTTTCCTTAGGAAATTGGGAGATTATTTGGGTGAAGCTTTACTTAATGCTTGCTTTTTTCCCTTGTGCTCTTTGCCTGGGCATCTACTGTAGATTAAAGAGCGAGGACACTGTGGTAGATGCACTTTTGGTCTGATGTGTATGAATGTTTTTATGTTCAGTTTCTGGAAATTACTGGAGGATCGTTCTCTTACAGTGGTGCCAAGATGCAAATTTCAGTTAGTCTTTTTGAGTTGGAAGTGACATCGCATCCTTCCCTCTCCAAATTATAGTACCAGACTACCAGATATCATTATATCTGCTTTCTCCGTTATCTAATTCAGCTGTTGATAACGAAAATTCCAGAAAGCCTGAAAGATAAATCCCCTAAGGGAAGAACTGAGAGAAATCTAGATGGTGACTACATCTGTTCCTACACCGAGCTCGCTTTATGGCTTGTGTTTACCACACACCATCTTTTATCACACTTGCTGGAGCAAAATGAGAGAATCATTTGAAACACCCTTCCTTTTCTTCCTTTCTTTTGGGGAAGTAAGGAATTGAACTAATATATAGTAAGAGAAGATTGTAGACAAGATTAGACCATTCAGTTCTAAGTGCTTTCAGCTTTCTCCCAGCTAGCCTCATCAGAGACTTCAAAGTTAAAATGCCTATGGACCCCCAAGATGAGGTTTCCAGTCACTTTCTCTCTTCAGAAAGAGGGATGCGTGTGTCTTACTCCAGACCATCTATGCTGTCTAGAGATTAGTTTGTAATTTTGCACTTTGAATATAGCTGGTTTATTTTACTGATCAGTTTGACAACAGGCAGCACCTCAGTTGTTTACTGCTACGGACATTAAGGAAACTGTTTATGTTCAGCCTCTGCAACCCAACATCCTTACGGTGCCTGCCTTTTTGTCCTGATTTCAACAAGTGTTGATTCAGAATCACTTGCCTTAACCTGTGAACACCTCCATCCACAAATTGTGCATTCTGTCATTGTAGGCTTTGAAGTCAGTAGAGCGTGGTCCTTTCACCCTTATGCAAAATGCCTAGCCCGTACAACGTTGCTACTCTTGAACTCTTACCTACACCAGGACAAATTATTCAGTATCCTGAGCCTGAGTTTGTTGCCTCCACACACGCTGGAGGGGATTAACTATGGTTTTGTATTTGCACCTCTGCTGTGCCTCTTGCACCTAAAACCCTTTTCCAGGATGACGAGCTGTCTTGGCAGGAGTGACTTTATCTGAAATGTTGAGCCTACATGACATTGATTACAGTGCCTTTGGCAGAACCCTGTCTTTTTCAGGAAGGCAAGCATGCCTGACAGCTCCTGGTTTGGTTTTGTTTTTTTTAAATCAATGTATTTTGATCATTTTCAGGTTTAAGGCTTTTGTTTTGCTGCCCAGTGTCACTCCAAGACTAGTGTTCAGATAATTACTGGAATGACTCAGTTTCAGAACAATGGACCTAACATCTTTTCCAGTACTTGAAATCATCACAGGTTTCAGAGTTAATGGACAACAATGTAATGAGTTACTAAATGAAGGAAAAAATGGAATATACTCATTGCTTCTATTCTAAGAGTATATCATGTGGGATTCCACACTTGTTGACGATTTCACTGTAGAGTTTTGGGGCAAAGGGTCTCTGGGTGTCAGAAGTCTATTATGTATAAACTGCATCATATATTTGTCTAGTAAAGAGCACACTCCTATGCCATTTCTAAAATATATTTTAACTGCGTGATACTTACAAGTTGGTGTCTAATTCTGGTTTCACATCACCAAATTCTCTCATGGATATTGGTATTTGTTCAGAAAAAAAACAACCAAACAAACCATTTTGGGGAATTACTTTTCCTGCAAAATTCTTTTCTGAACTGAAAAAAAATGTGATTTAAGCAAAATACATACATGTGACTGAGTACTGGAATTCCTAAAGTCTTAAGTCCTCATTTGTGTTTTTCTCTGCTTATATTAACAACAAAGACTGTTTGAGCACCTTCAGTGCTGGTACTATCTTAGGAGTAAACCTCTTTGTATAAGAAATGAATTAAAAAGCTTTATAGTTATGTGCTTAGTGGCGCAGAGTTTATAATCTTTGTGGACATAATATTTTTGTTCCTGTTTGCTTCTCAGCCAACCATGAAGTCTTAAATAAAGTAGAGGTTCAGTATGAGACACTTCCAGGATGGGATACAGACATATCAAATGCAAGGACGTTTGATGACCTGCCTGTAAATGCACAAAACTATGTTCGCTTTATAGAAATGGAGTTGGGTGTTCCTGGTAAGTAAAACAAATTTTGTTGTTGTTTTGTTTTGGGGTTTTTTTCTGCTTCATGGCACCTATCTTGTACTTTGTCTTAATGAACATTCAAAATACTGAAAAGTAGTTTGTAGCTGTACTCATTCTGAGGGACCTGGTGATATTTGTAATTACTCTTTTACTGTTTTTTATCTATCTGTTTAGCTGTTGAATTGAAAATTTTCACAGGTTTTAATGTGCATTCTTTCTTTGGCTTATGCTATAGTTCTTGTTCAGCTGAGATTTTATAACTTACTTAAGGGGTTTTCAGATTGGTTGCAGTAGGGATTTCGTTCTGCTGCCTTTATGAAGTCAGTGGGACTACTACTGTATTGATGTGATTAAATATATGTGACAGTGAGAGGTCCTAAAGTAACAAATTTCTCTTATGCTCTCTAATAAAGATGATTGTGTTGTTTCATCCAAAGCTGGGAATTAGGAGATGATGCAAATCTTTACTTTTCTGAGAGTTTCTCTGTATCTTTCTTCCTGTGATCTGGAAAACCAATTTATTTTTTATGGCACCTTCAATACTGTTCCTGCTTTTCTGAGTTATTAGTGCATTCTTACTTTGAGAACAGTAGACATAGTTATAATTTAATAGTATGTGCTGTGTTTTTCTTCAGACTTAAGATAGCACGTAAGATAGAAACTTACCTTCTTAAGCACTTAAGATACAACCTGATTTTGCCTTGTATTACTTATAATAAAAATTTGCTTTTCTCTCCTACAGTTAAATGGATTGGAGTAGGGAAATCCAGGGAATCAATGATCCAGCTGTTTTAAAGATTTCAGATGCATGGAAGAAAGCACACTCCTCAAAAGACTGCTTATTCTTAAATGCATTAGTATCCCGCAAAGCAAAGATGTTGGAAAGATAGATTTTTGCATGGAAAGAAATGCTAGAGTTGATATCCCCAAATCAATCGTTACCCCTGAAAGAGACTTTAACATGAACCTGTATCAGTTCTTCTTCAACTGCAGTTTCCAGGACAGTTGTCATTGTTGTTCAAGGTGCCATCAGATTTTTTTTTTCTTTACCTAATACTTACTTCAAAATGTAATTCCTGTTTGAAAATCTAAGGTAGCATTACTTTCATGACTGTTTGTTTTTGTTATCCTCTCTCTGCTTTTGACGGTGTTACTTCCCTGAAATTTTAGACAGTAAAAATAATGCAGTTTTGCACAGATAGTTTTACATCCTCATTATTTGTATTCCTAAAGCTGTCGTATTCTTAATGACTGCTCTCGTGAGTGATTAAAGAGGGGGGGATTCTGATTTTATAATGCTATAAATGCTGTCTAAATTATTGTGTGATCTTTTTTTTAAAAAAAAGATGTGATGCCGAGTTGTTACGAATGTCCAGGTTTTTTTAGCTGTCTAACACAGAAAACTTACTCTTTGTAACTACCAGGAAGTGTGCCCAGAAAGTCAGAAAACTGATATTGTAAAAAGCTCATTTGCGATTATTAAAGAACTGTTCTGATTTTGAGTTTAATGTTTTATAATGTTACTCATTTTTCTTTGGTATTTTACAACCACTGCACTTCCCTACTTCCAAGGCGCATATCTCAAACTGTTTGCCTAATTAAATGAGGTTATATTTATATTTGGTGAGAAGTCTAACATTTTGATGCCCTTTTAAATTCCTTTCTGCATAGCCAACAGGAGATCTTTCTCTGGAGAACTGGCAAAGCACAGACACTTTTGTAATTATAAATTGAAGATGCTTTAGAAATAACATTTAAAGTATTCAACGTATTTGCTTTAGGTGTAAAAAAAAACGTATTCACCTCAAGACATCTGACATTTTGGCTTATTGGTGTTGGGAAATGTTCTAGAATAATTTTAATTTATAACCATTATTATATATTCCAAAGAATCTGATTTGGCAACAACCCAATTATTACATATCCCCTTTGGAGATTTTTTGAGAATGACTTTGTTTTGATGCACTATACTATGGTATTAATGTGCTTCCTTTTACTTAAAATAAAAGTTACAAACTTGTTTTTAGGAGACAAAGTATCAGAGTGGGACAGTAGTTTTAGATTTATTTCAGCTATGCAGATGAATATGAGAAACTTTTAACACAAAATGTAAGGTAGGCCTTCCAGATCATGTCTTAGGTAAACAGATGTTTCCTGAAATGGAGTGGTTTTGTTGAATTGATGCTGCTGTTGAGGTGTTCAGAATATGAACAATGTTTATATTCTCAGTTGACACAAAATAGCTTACCATAAGGGGAGCAGCAGGAGAATTGAAGTATAAAAATACTGATATTTAAGGAGTGTTTTCTATTGAATTGTTTGCAAGTGATGGAGCAGTTAGCAGGGTGTGTGTTGTATGTGTGGAAAGCGGAGGATGGCACAGAATGCTGGAAAATTGGCAGAAACATTGAGGTGCTTTTGTATCAGCATTGCATGTAAAGATCATTCTCTACAGCATTAAAAACAAACAACTTCATAGTCATTTTTTTTCTGGAAGGGATGGAGGGCTAGCTTTGTTGTCAACCTTGTAGCTGTCCAGGAGAGAATCGTATGATCCCTCCCTAGGTAAGGGACAGCTTGAATTAAAAATATTTTCCTAATTCCCTGATGGAAAGAAGGAGGCATATAACTGTGTGAAACAAATTCTAGTGTTCATTTAGAAGTTAAAACCTACTATTACTATTTTCTTGGAAAATGGAGGCAATTGACTGTAAAACCAAAAAAAATAGGTAATCATTCCGAAGTGTTCTTGTCTTCCTGTAGCTGTAGGAGGCACCGAGGGTGTTTGTGTTGTCACTGAATCTACCAGCCAAGGACTGGGGGCGTATCTGGTTCAGTGAGTGAGTAAATAAATAAACGAGGACATGCTTTCCTTCAACAGTGATTAAATAAATGAGGGCTTACGCTGTAGTTGCTTCACTTCTACCAAGCAAGAGACCTTCAAAGGGGAAGTCATGTTTGACCAACCTGATAGCCTTTTATGAAGACATAACCAGGTGGATGGATGGTGGCCATGCAGGGGATGTGGTCTACCTGGGTACCAGCAAGGCATTTGACACCATCTCCCCACAGGATCCTCATAGGTAAACTGAACAAGTGTGGTCTGGATGACCAAGTAATGAGGTGGGTCGCTAATTGGTTGAAGGGAAGAAGTCAGAGAGTTGTAGTCAATGGGACAGAGTCCAGGTGGCGGCCTGTGTCTAGTGGAGTCCCTCAGGGGTCAGTCCTGGGGCCGTTGCTGTTCAATATATTCATCAATGACCTGGACGTGGGATTAGAGAGCCTTGTGAGCAAGTTTGCTGATGATACAAAACTGGGAGGAGTGGCTGACACACCAGAAGGCTGTGCTGCCATTCCAAGAGACCTAGACAGGGTAGAGGGCTGGGCAGGGAGAAATCTTATGAAGTTCAACAAGGGCAAGTGTAGAGTTTTGCACTTGGGAAAGAATAACCCCATGTGCCAGTATAGGTTGGGGCCCGACCTGTTGGAGAGCAGCATAGGGAAAAGGGGACCTGGGGGTCCTGGTGGACAGCAGGGTGACCATGAGCCAGCAATGTGCCCTTGTGGCCAAGAAGGCCAATGGCATCCTGGGGTGTATTAGGAGGGGGGTGGCTAGTAGGTCGCGAGAGGTTCTCCTGCCCCTCTACTGCGCCCTGGGGAGGCCACATCTGGGATATTGGGTCCAGTTCTGGGCCTCTCAGCTCAAGAGAGACAGGGAACTGCTT